GAGAAGAGAAGAGAAGAGAAGAGAAGAGAAGAGAAGAGAAGAGAAGAGAAGAGAAGAGAAGAGAAGAGAATGGTTACAGCGGTCATCCTTGTCCAAGGTGATCTGAGTTTGTAGTATGAAATTTGCCTTCATTAGCACATGGCGCAACATATTTTAGTAGCAGGGACAGCCGTTTCTCTAAGGTTTCCTCCATTTAAGGACAGCTCCATCAAAGGGAAGAAAGAAGGTGACCTGTATTTGTTCCACTGGTCTCTGCTCAGTGCACACCCTGTTTCAGATTAGGAATGGGAGCCCAAGGTTGGCAGCTGACACACAATACTGAGTCAGACGAGGATAGTTCTGCGAGAGCGGAAGATGGAGCTGGTTTTTCCCCATCAAGGTGGCCCACTCTGCCATGACGGAAGCACACAAGGAGGTCTCCAGTTCCTCCTCCTTCAAGAAACATCTGCTCTCAGCAGAGGGATGGGCTCCAGCATGAATCTTATCAGGCACAGGAGTTACTATGGTGACATCTATTATCCCTCTTTATACAGAGATGAATCAGGAGCTATAAATAAGAAATCTGTGGCAGATTGATCGGTGGGAGTGGGGGAGGTAAGTATCTGGGGCAAAATGGATGAGGAGGATATTGGGGCATCCGGAACATTCAGCTCCTGATTCCCTTTCAACATTAGCCAGAGGTCAACAGACGGGCAGGTAGATCTCTTTGCACGGAGCAGATGGGAACATCAAAATCAGGTCGCATCTGCTTCTGAGGAGGAATAGATTAGCAGGTCTGGAGTCACAGGGGAGATGTGCCTTCCCTCCCTCTGGCACCTACTTCATGGGCAGCCCTTTTTTCCTTAGATGCTTGTTTCTCTTACAAGACGGGGGCCAAAGGTAGCAAGGACCTCCTTGAAGATGGAGGCTCTTTGGGGAAACAAGACTCCGGTGGAGCCAGGCCTGCTTTCAGAAACCAGCCAGCAAGCAGGACAGCTGAGGGGCTTTTTGAACAATTCAAAACAGAGACGCAGAAATCTCAGCCTCCAGCAGCTTTGCCAGACTCTGCGGTCCATGCAAGCCCATTTGCTACAGCAGGTGCTTTCCCATCAAACTTCATCCTTGTCAGCATGAATACATCTCGCTTCAAAGCCCCATTTATTGTGAGAACAATTTGAGCAATTATCCTGACAGTCAGAAATAATCACTTTGTCTCTGCTGAATAGAGCTGTTTCATGGTTGCAGCCTGGCTCCTTTTGTTGGGGGGGGTGTCAGGTGGGGGATGGCCGGAGTGGTGAAAAACTGATGTTTTTGAATGCCCCAGCATTATGGCAGGCTTGTGGAGTGCTCAAACATGCACTGGAGGGGTGGTGTGTGTGTGTGTGTGTATGTGTGTATGGGAGGAATATATTAAATTATTGCATTGTGTTATGTGATTACATTTTACAAATTTGTGTCCAGACGTAAGGAAAGCTGCACCTCAGAACATAACCATGCATTAAACCGGCTGGGAAAAAGGGAGTCCATCTTCTCAGTGTTAGAGAGTCTTCCTCAGTCTGCTGCTGTACAGATGTGATGTATCTCAACTCCCAGCATTTTCAGCCAAGGGTAAGCAAAGGCCAGAATATCTTAAAGATGGCAGATTGGAGCAACTGGCACCGGGGGGGGGGGCGGCTTATTTCGGTAAGAGAAAGGATCTTCATGCATTTTTAAAGGGGATTATCCATGAAGGAGGGAAGAAAGATTTTAATTATGAGTCTTAGTTCCATGCTGGAGAACTGGAACCCCTGTCATTATTATTATTAGGGTTGGTCACACAGTCAGCCAGATGTTTAGACTGGATTTGGCATTTTTATCCACCTATTGAGTCCTTCCCAAGGACCTGGGATAGGCAGATATTGTGGTTTGATGGTGTTACCATCATATTGTCGCAAGATGTAGGCTGTTCCAAGTAAAGCTGTCTTTTGCAATTGACTGATGGCGATTTTGTCAATGTCGATGGTCTTCAAAGGGTGCTCCAGATGTTTTGGGATTGCCCCCAAGGCACCTATTACTATTGGTATGATCTTTGCTGCTGCTGCTGCTGCTGCTGCTGCTGCTGCTGCTATTATTATTATTATTATTATTATTATTATTATTATTATTATTATTTGTATGGCCGCCCATCTCATCTAAGCAACTCTGGGAGACTCACAACAGCTAAAGACAATCTGTTAAAAACCAATATACAAACATATTAAAACTATCCATAATCAATTTAAAAATTAGGATCCGTGGCAGAATTCATCCTATATCAGCTCAACACAGAGCTCCCTCCATTGCCAGACCCGCAGGCGCAGTGGCAGAACCGTGACTTCAGGGCCTTCCTAAAGGCCGGGAGGGTCACGTTCAATCGAAGGTTCAGGGGGATGATGTTCCACAGGGTGGGTGCCACGGCCGAAAAGGCTCTCTTCCTGGGCCCTGCCAGATGACACTCTTTCATAGATGGGACCCGTAACTTGCCTCTCCTGCCAGTTAAAGCTTATTAAAGCTTAGCCAATTAAAAACAAACAAAACTAAAAATCCATCAATGGCTGCAGAGCACAACAGAGAGAGAGAAAAGTGGATGTTTTTGTTGACTGCTTTCCTGGAAACCCAACACATTTGTTATTTTGGAAACTGGCCATAGAAACTCTTCTTCTGTCCATGGTACTGAAGCATCACAAACCCGGATCTGGAGTCATCGGCTGCTGCTTTCCAAGTGCTGAAAGAGCTTGGCAACCACTTGCCAAGAACGTTGGCATGGGCCTCCTTCTCTCCCCACCCTGACCCCTCTTTCTCCCCTTCTTGTTTTTAATTGTATGACAATGGGACGCAACGGCCTTGATGATGCTTCATTCCAGTTTTCATTCAATGCTCCCCTTGAGTCTCAGAGCTTCCAGTACTTGGCATTTTATTCATTGTGAAGGGTATGAAGCAGCAGTTAATCACATGGAAGTGCTGACTGCCCTGGAATCTCTCTGCGCTGAGCTCCTGGGCAGCACGTCAGGGCGGCTGTGATCAAAAGCAGGAACGGACAAGAAAATCTGTGCACCGTTTGCTGGCTGACATGGCTCACATTGAGACGGGTCATGAGATGGAAATTGGAAGGCACCCTACTGAAGGCATAAGCGGTGGTGGCAAGAGAGAAAAGCAATAGACAGACTGAAACGCAGAATCAAAGGCATACATTTTGAAGCTCTCTTTTCCGTCTGATTAACCGCGTAAGAGAGCCACTGAATGGTGCTCCCCCCTTCCTCCCCCAGCCTCGCAGTTGATTTAGCTCTCTCTCCTGAATATGGCAGCAAACCAGCAGGACAACGTTTCATCCTCCCAGGATAGTTACGGCTGCTATTCTTGAACAAAAGAAGTTCAAAGAGAAGCTGTCATGTTAAGCCACTGAATTTTAATTTATTGACAAGCTCTTTTTGTCACCGATGGTCTGCATCACGATGATGAGTTTTGATCACATTACATGTGTAAATTAGTTTAGCAAAGCTGGGGGGTTTGTACTAGGGCGGCTGTATGAATGGTGGCCACGAAGGTTCTACGGCACGATCCTTCTCTGGGCGTCCCCCGTCTCAACCTGCTCCTCCTCCTCCTCCTCCTCGTGCCTTTATTCCCCTGATTTAGGATAGGGTTCCATAACATAGACTCTAATTCCACCAATGTTGATGTTGCAAGGCCTGTTACTTCGTATGGTGCCGCCGGTCTCTTGGCTATTTCTTGCTGCAATAAGACTAACGTGCGGCAATTAAGAGGTGTTACAATCGTGTCCTGGCAGTGTCTGAAGAGCTGTCACTGGAGGAGTAGCTGAGGCCTTCCTCGCTCTCGCGGGAGGACGCGACCCGGGGCACTGAAGCGCCAGCGTGTTCCACTGTGTTGCCTTCTGGCCTCCTTTAGGGCTTTGTTTTGGGAGGCGAAGCCTCTCCCTTCAACCTCAATTACCGTTTGCTTTGGGCGAATTGGCATCGGTCCTCCAAACCAGACAGTTCGGCCGGAGAGTGGGCATCCTGTGTCTTCGAACAATGCAAGGCTTTGGAAAGGGTTTTAAGGGAAGCAGGTGAGATTTAGAACGTCACGGCTGCAAAGAGAGGAGCCTCGGGGGAAGGAAATCCTGCACGTGTACGGAAGGCTTGTTCTTCTCAGTGGCGTCTGCACGCAGGGTGACTACCTCAAATCTCCGTCATTCATGCTTTTCTGCCAGTTAAATAATGTGTTGCCAGTTCTTAAACTCAATGAAACGCCCTCTGTAAAGCTAACCCCCCCGAAGTCTGGCTGCGCTCGTACAAGCGGTTTGTCGCTACAGATTTGGTCAGTGGGCACCTAAGTACCCATCTGGTCACCATGACTGTGACACAAACCAAGGGGTGCCACAGCACATTTTGTGACACGCCGTGCATTTGCCTCTGGCCAGAAATGGCGTTGTGTTTGAAACTGGCTGAAGCTTGCAGATGCACTGTTGTTTCAAGATGTTTACTGGGACATTTGTGCCTTTCCCTGTCAAAAAGGTGGACTGCGGAGGAAACATAATCTCTTCCTTTATTTGGCCGACTTCCTCAGTACATCTAGTATTTCTCATGCAACCATCAGCAAATGACAACATCACAGCAAAAGACGACCACGTAGCACATGGAGGGAAAAGGGGACTGGACCCGAATCGCTTCATGCACAGAATGAGGCCGTGAAATGGACAGAAGGGCCTTCACAACACGGGTGGGGTCCTTTCGTGCTGCAGACGTGGCCGTGTCCCCTTTGCCACGTAGAAGGGAAGCCTCATCGCCGTCTGAGCCCTTTCTGCACATGAGGGGGGGAGGGTCCTGCTGCGACACCCCAGTTGAGATGGCAGGGACCTCACAGCTGAGCCTCTGGTGTGGGAAGCACCGGCGGGGCTGCAGGTCACTTCACAAGGGCCAAAAGCCCTGTGGCAGGGAACCCCGGGCTCCAGCTGCAGAATGCAGGCTGGTGACTTCCTCAGGTGCCCATCCTGGAGCATGTCACCCCACTCTGTGAAGCTCATCCCATTGGGGTGCCTCTCTTTTCTGCCCCCTCCCCAGGGTACCCTGGCTTTATTTACCCCTTCATTTCCAGGGGGGCCCTTGCAAAGAGAACCCACTGATCCACCGAGGGTGAGGCTGCAACACCAACGGAAGCCTGTGAGAGACCAAGTTAAGGTCAGGAGGACCCGGGCCCTTCGTGCGCGCTTGTGGGCGTATCTGAAGGACGGGGACTATGGGCAAAGGGCACTGCACCCCATTCCCGCTCTGCCTGTTGGTTCCTCTCTTTACACTCTCTCACTTTCCTTTGCAATCATGGTGGCTCTTTGGCACTGCCCCAGCTTGGAGCCTCTGCTGCCCAGGGAAATCCTTTCTACCTCCATCTGTTGGGGACGTTGCCCTCCCTCACAACAGGGCCATTCCTGGACTTGCTGGCCTCCGACACAAGACTCTTGCGCAACGTCGCTGTGGTTGTGCCCACACGGCAAGGGGGGGCGAGAACACATCCTGCTCTGCAGGGGTGGGAGGAGAAGCTCTCTGTGGCCTTGCTTTCCTGGGGAAGGAGCACAGGGAGGGGAGACAGACGCAGCGGCCAAGGCCCGGCAGGGTCACTGAGGCGAGTTCAAAGCGGAGTCAGGGGTGTTCCCTTTGGGGCAACGAGGGGGTAAGGCCTTGTAGCTGTAATATTCCACCACCTGCTTGGGCACCTCTGCCAGCACACACTTTGCCAGGGCAGTTGGAGAAGCCTGGAAAGCAAAGGAGGCCGAAAGGTTAGTGCCACTTTCCATCCCGCACTGGCCTCTCTGTGCTGCTTGGCACTCTTCAGGCAGGTGGCGAAGGTAAGAACACAAAGACCCTGAATACAAGAATGCCTACTGGCGGAGTACAAAGAGATCTGAACCGCCCATAAAACCAGGAAAAGATGCACAAGGAAAACCCCCTCCTGCTTGAAAGGGGCGGTCCCAGGACACACGGGCACGCAAAACGCGCAGCTGACATGCAAGGACACTGCCCTTCCTCCAGACTGGTGCGCCCGCAGCAGCCTCCTTGCTGGAAAACCTTTCGGGAGCAGTTTGGACATCCCGTCTTTCCCTAGACCCCTCTGACACGCAGAGCCGAGTTCTGCCTAGAGCAGAGGGGTGGCCCTGCTGGGCTTCCTGGATCAAATTAGCCTTAGATCCCATTTTGCTTGCAATGTGTCCAGTGATGACTGAGATCATCCGGTGGACCCTGCCCTGCTCCGAGAGGGAAACTCTGGGCTGGGCGGATGGTGTGAAGGGGAGACCGGGAGTCAGTGTCACCTTGGCCACATCTGGGCAGCGCCAGGAGAGAAGGGAAGAAAAGCCTCTGGAGCAGAGCAGGAAGGCCGGGAGAGGCCAGGGAAGAGGCCTGGCAAGCTGTTTCCCAAGGGACACCCGGGGGACCCTGCAGCTCAGCAACGGGAGCAGGGCGTTCACCGGGGGCGCCTACGGCTGCAGAATCCGCAAGGGCCAGCCAGCTGGGGGGCTGCATTTGCTGTCCTCCACTGGGGGGGCGACTTACGTTCTTGAACTCCCGGAAGGGGACGAACTGCACGATGTCCCGCATGACGGGCTCGCCCTTGGGGGAACGAAGGATCCCATCGTCCCCATCCAAAATCTGCATGTCGGTGAAGTCGGCATTGCCCACCCCCACAATGATGATGGACATGGGCAAGTAGGAGGCCCGGACAATGGCTTCCCGCGTGTCTGCCATGTCGGTCACCACCCCATCGGTTAGGATCAGCAGGATGAAGTATTGCTGTAGAAAGATGTGCCGAGTCAGGAGGCGCTTGCAAAATAAGCAGATGAAGACGGGAGAGACCCTGGAGGGGACAGTCGTGGTTGCAGACACATCTCCTCCACGAACGATTCCCCTTTTACACGGCTCTGCCCCAACAGCCATCGGCCTACCCTGCTGCCACTCGCTAAAGGCATTAAGAGAGAGCAGAAAGCACGCTGGCTCATCCTGGAACGGAGACCGCTCGGGAAGCCAGTGGGGAGAGGTCAGGCTCCATCGCAACCCACCAAGAAACCAGCCAACCCACCTCCTCAGGGCTTCCTCCTGCAAAGGGGGGGGGGCGGAGGATGGGGGGCTGCCAGAGCAGGCGCCTCCTCTGCTCTTGGCAAAGGACAAGGGCGTTCCCTGCCAAGAGCTGCAGGGCTCCTGCGCGTGGATCAAGAGGAACGACTCCCGGGGCAGCCAGGAGCTCAGCCCCAGTTAGCACAAGCCAGAGTGGGTGGAGGGCCTAATGCCGGAGAGGCCGTCCTCCACAGGGGCTCAGCAAAGGCCCGGGGGGCGGCTGGCGACATCCAACGCGTCACAGGGCTCGGCGTTTGGGCAGATGGCGCTAGTTCCTACGGAAGCTCTCCGCAAAGCTGAACGAAGCTTCGGGGCAGAGGTGCCATGGGAAGGCAACTCATTCCAATCTTGAAATCGGATCACCATTCAAAACAAATTGTCAAATGCCTCTGAACTGATCAGGCAATTCATTTGTTCTGTTTTGTTTTTTAAAACTGAATTGCTTACCTTAATCAAATTGACCTGATTCAAAATGTCAGACCGAACTGATGGCTCCAATAAGGTTGGAGCTGATTCACTTCCTCAAGTCCTTCTGCTTCCCCACCGCCCCTCTCTTGCCCCTCTCCTCTTTTTCTTTCTTCTCCCCCCTTCTTCCGCTCTTCCCCCACTTTAC